ATATATATATATATATATATATTAAATACTAATAATAATTAAATATAATATATTTTTAAAATTGATTTGATGTTTATGAATTTCAAACTCATTTCAATTTCCAATACATTCAACACCCCCCTATAAGGGGTGCCATTAGCACCCCCCAAAAAAAATTATATCAAACTCTTGATTTAAGCACGAATAACTTTTTTAAAGCAGGGTTCAAGTTCGATACTTATTTATAAGCTGAAATTTGCAATTGATTATATTTATTGATTCGAATTCGATAATTTTTATATTTTTATTGTATGATGTATTAATACATATATGTAGGAGTAAATATAGTACGGTACTAACTTTTTTTTTTCATATATGGTACACCAACCAATTATAATTGGTATGTTTATACTGTGTATTAATCAATTATATTTTGTACCAACTTTTTTTTGTTTGTACATGTTGGTATGGTTTTATATCAACATGAACGAAAGTCAAAGATACAAATATATTTACATTGACATCTTTTGCAAATATATTTTCCGTAAACACTGAAGGGTGATGGCCTCCAAGTTTTAGAGTTATTTGTCTATCTTTTAAAACCCATTTTCACCTATTTAATACCCTTTTGAGCCTTTCACTACTTCTTTCATCTGAGTTGTTTCTAAAGTTGAGAAATAGCTAAAATTTAGGAAATTGAGCTGGTACACCATTATAGGAAACCGAAAGTTAGTAGTTGTGGCCACTTTATGGAGAGAATGTGGCCACATTCCAACACGACGTAGTTTCGAGAGAAAGAAATCATGTAGGGTTCTTTTGGTGATCGGTTTTGCCAACCTTTTTTGTTACTATCATACTATTGGGAAAGGTTTGCACACATACCCGCTTTTTATTACTTCCTATTTTAAATCATTGAATCACTCTGAAAAATATCAATTTTATAATAACTTTGCACCGGAAGTTCGTGAAAAACCTCAGATTCTTAATAAGACCAGTTCCTGTGGATAAGATCTTGGTAGTATATCATTATATTACTTGAAGTCAGACACAAGAGTCGATGTATACTTGCAGTGCCACATTCGTGTGTATGTATTTAACAAAATAAAAGACTTTGTCCAGAATAATTGCTTACTGGAAAATGACTTGCTACCAAGCATTCTTTACTAAGTGCTGACTGACATGCAATTACAATTATAACCCTATCGTCGCTATGACAAATCGGGTTTATAGGACGCAAAAATGTGTAAGTGACATAATAGACTGTTTTATAAAAACATACAGTTGTGTGCCTTATGTAAGAGGGTTGCAATGAGTTTATAACACATTTTTGAAGGTTTTAACAAGTTCTCTTAGAACATTTCTAAATTAAAGTGTTATATTAGTTGTTTTACAAGACATTGTTCTATGAATTTATCTTTTTATAGGACACTTTTTTTTAAACATGTTCTCCAAATAATGTCATATACAAAGTTAATACAACGGTTTGTATCAAATGGGTCCTGAAAAAGTTGTTGAGACTCTAAAAAACGTCTTATAAACCTAATCCGAACGGGTTTACATCGGATGTACAATTGTTTGATGTTATAAACATGAGTTCTATAAAAACGTCTATTAAGAAACATGACGTTTTTGAAGTTTCATAAACTCGATTTTGTTGTAGCGTGCTTGTGTTTAACGCTTCGTTCACTTGTACTATGTGTTTTATGTTGTTTTCTTGTGGCAACCTTTTTTTTCTTTTGGATGAAATGGCCTTTTTAATGTTTACTTATTGGTAATAAATAATCAAACATTCAATGAATAATTCAAATAGACCACTTATATTTAATCAATTAATTGTCAAAAAAGTCAGAATCACTTTTATTAATTTTACATAAATAAAACCTATTAACTTAAGTGCCATTTACTGAATGTTTAATTGGGTAAGCGTTTATCAATTCATATTACTTTACCTGATGCATATTACAATGACTAAGAATCTTACCCGGTAAGAACGAGAGCAAGAATTGAGAGTCTTACTCGGTAAGTGAGGGCGACAACTCTTACCAATGTTACCATAGTTAACGTTTATCAGGATAAATTGTTGCATATGATGCGTTTTAGTGAATAAAATCTTATCCAGTAAGTAAGCAATAGTATTGATTTTTACCCGTAAACGTTTACCGAATAAGTGTTTAAGTAAACAACCCCTAAGTCCCTATTGGAAGCTCATAAAGTAACAGTCTGAAATTCGAATTACCACATAATTAATAGCATACAATTCTAGTTTCTCCATATAACAATCAAGCAACCATATATACATTACACTACAAGATGGTTTCAAGCATCCAAAATTTCAATATACATACTCAGAAAAGATTGAGTTTTCGGATCGTTATCAAAGCCGGCAGACTGCAGGTAGCTATCGGAAGCCAAAAACACTGAAAATCCCGAACAGTTTCTGCTTAAAGTTATCGCCCCATTGAATCGGCAAACTTTTTGCTGGTTGTGTCGTTTCATGATCTCGTTCTTCGGCTACATGTTGGGTTTCCTGATGTACGTTTGAATCACAAGAATCTTGATTTTCATGTTGTTTCGAATCTAACTGAGATGGATTGAATCGGTTTGTTCAGTACAAGAATATTAAGATACCACAGTTTAAACAATCACCGGATTCTAGAATTTCTGGAGCTGCTAATAGACAAATTCCGAATGATCTGCAACTTACACTACAACAAAATCGAGTTCATAGAACACCAAATATGTCTAAATGTCCTAATAGCCTGATCTATAAGACTTAAAGCTTATAGCATCAAACAATAAGCCGTCGTATATATAAAAGTGTTACAATAAGTTAATTAGACGCTTTCAGACGATCTAAAAGAATTTTAGTACACCTTTGAACATGTCTTTTTTAAGATTGTTTGTTTTTATAAGACATTTTTATAAAAATATTTATTTCAAAAGTGTTACAAAAAACTTGTTAGAACTTTCCAAATTGTTATCTCAACGTCTTATAACGCTTTATAGGATACATAATTGTTTTGTTCTATTAACTTAATTCTTATAAAGCAATCTGTTAAGACATTTAAGCATTTTTTGTGTCCTATAATGTACAACTTTCGTCACATATGATACAAGTTTTTACGGTTTAGTTAGGGATTTTGATCCTGAAAAACGATTATGAAATAAGTAGTTTGTCGAAATGTGATTCTGGGATTGTTAAGAAGAACCGAAATGCAGCATATTTTTGCGTTATAAACAAGCAAGTACGAACTTGAACTAATGTAAACGGACAATACTGCCCTTGAGTGAAGAGAAACTTAACATAGCCATGTTCTTCGCCTCTGGTTTCTCTTCATCAAGGGCAATCTTGTCAAGCTACATTAGTCTCGCGGGATTTGGCAAAAAGATGGAAAAGAAGGCGGTTTCATGATGCTTTCGCTGCTGTTTGCTGTTCAAGAATGGTATGTTTGGGTTTGGCGAGCTTAACGATGGCAGATTTCCAAAAACGCCCTTTCGTTCCTATTCTTGATCAAAAACCGATCATGGATACTAATCTTACGGTAATCTGAAGCTAATCTTATGGTAATCCGATGACTCTAGAAGTAAATTCCCAAGGTTTTCTTGGTCTACTAAGGATTTTGAATAAGAACTAACAATCGATGGACAAAACTGGAATGATATTATTGATATCAAGAACCAAAATCAAAACAAAAAGACCAAAAAAACTCGATCCATTTTCCTAAAAGAATCGGCTAGCTAGTGATCTACGTTCTTATTTAACTCTAATGAAACTAGCCGAAAAAGAAACTAGAAAAAAATAAACACATTAAGCGTTTACCTCGGGCAATTTGAGGTCCATAGCCATATCGACTCCTGTTGCTATCATAGCGGTTCCATTAAGGGCCGATTCTGGTTCATCTTTCGAACCTTCGTTGGCTGACGGTTCTTGATCGGTGTCCGTTGTCGGCAATTGACTCAGACCAGGTACTAGAACCGGCACTGCTTCGTTAGATACCAACACTTCTTTCATATTTATAGCATATGCGTCAGGCTCTTCGGTTTGAGCTTTATTGTTAGATATCTTCACTTTTGAGGTGCCAGTAGTACCTAAAGATGGTTCTACTGTCGTCCCATCGTCGGCTGCAACCATCTGCATTTCTTCTGCGGTTGCAGCCAATTCTTCCACTTGATTCAATGTGGGGCCCACCTCAATTATTCTTCGGGAATTAGGGTTTTCCCAATCTTCGCAAAGGGTAATAATCTTCTCCGATTCCCAGCATTCTAGAATCCGGTCGGGACCAGGCTGCCACGTGAATTTCCCGTTGCGTTCTTGCATTACGAACTTGAACTTGATGCACTTTCCTATCGGTATGTCCTAGTTAAGCAAAACCCACAACTTTGAATCAGTTTCAGAATTATAGTCTTGACAAAAACCGTCAGGATATGTGAAACCCCATTGAATTACTTTTTAGAATAGCCTTTTTATGTGAAACCCCATTGAACACTTTATTTCAAAAGTATTTTAAAAAAAACTAGTCAAAACCCAAAAATGTCATATAAACTTATTGCAACATTTTTACATATTGCGTACCAGTTTTTGGTACTATAAACTTAAGTATTATAAAACAATCAGTTAGAACACATACATTTTTGGGGTCATGTAAAACTAAATTTGTTGTAGCGAGAAATGATTCAAATATAGCAGATGAGGGATGCCAACACAACGTTAGAAATGGAACGTTTTGAGAAACAGTGGGGAAAATAGATCGAACTTACAAGATCCACGGTCCATACATGTCCTTCGGACCACGTCAACGGAATGGCATTGGTTGGATCCCATAAACCGAATATCGGATCATCCCCTACGATCAGAAAATTCTGACCGAATGAGCATTCTCTCTGTAACTGGAATCTAACACAAACCGTTTGTGCTTCTGCTTCTGCTTTTGCTTTGGTTTTTGAATCTTCATCCACTTCCGCTTCAACTAGATCACGATCAGAAACCGTCATAAGATGAAATCTTGAAACTAAACGGAAATGAAATCGCTCAAATTCATGAAAACGATTATGTCGTAAAATTAAGCAAATTTTTTGCATACTTGTATATCCGTATAGAGATTCTTCTATGTGAAGTTCCTGGCTCTTCACCTCTGCCTGCATTTTTCAACAATTAGAAATGCCAAAATCATATACGACAATTAACATCGATCGCTATAACAATATTGGGTTTATCAAAACACTGCTAATAAACTGTTTTATCTTATAAACTTATTGCAACATTTTTATATTTGTTCTTATAAATCTAAGTCGTTTACATATTCTAACAATTGGATACTTTTGATGTTCTATAAACTCAATTTTGTTGTATTAATTTCAGATTCCCTTTTTGGAAAAAAGTGAAAATTTACAGCTCCAAACGCCAAACGTTATCTTTTTGGATGAACCACATATCATTCAACAAAGAATCATTACAATCTATCAGAAACATGATGAGAGAGAGAGAGGGGGGGGGGGGGACCTGGGTATCAGACGATGAGAGAGAAACGGGACGAAAACCTCTACTGTGTGTTGAAGAAACCGAGATGGAGAGCTTGAAATCGACATCTTTGTTCTTGTGGTTATAAAGACAATGATGAAGAGGTGATCTCAACAGTGAATTAGCCATTTTTGTATCTCTGCAAGAAACCAGTTTCAGATATGGAGAAGATGAACCCATAATGGCTTCCATAATCACTACAGTGATGAGTTGGGTGTGATTGTAGTTGGAGTTAGAGGAAGTGGGTAGAGAGTATAGAGATAGATGAGTGTATGTATAGACGGTGAGGTTCAGTAGTAGTGTTAAGAACGGATCAAGTACCAGGTGGGTGGCTCCCAATCACGAGGAGAGAAGTCGGGCTTAATTCAAGGACTCTTGTGTATTTTTGGAAAGCCCCAATGCTCTCTCAAGCATGTGACCCCTTTTTGCGGATAATCTTATTTTTTATCTCAAATATGTTTGAATAGTTTGAAAAAGTTTATAAAATCAATTACGTTGTATCTAAAAGTGTTACAATAAATTTATAAAATATTTTTGTTTTTAGGGTATTTTTAAAAATAAAGTTTCGTATTATTTATTTTGTAGGACATTTCTGAGAAATGTTTTATAAGAATATCGTTTTATAGGACACTTGTATATATATGACATTTTTTTTTCCAAATAATATCTTGCAAAATAGTTAACATCGAACTTTATTTTAGGAATATTCTAAAAGGAGTTGCTAGACATTTAAAAAACGTCTTATAAACTTGTACCACCAACAGTTTCGTGCTTCTATTTATGATTAGTCACGTTACGGAATGGTATTAAAGACGATAAATTATGAGGATTTTATAACATTATCATATTGAGTCATCGAAGGGTTTTTTAAGGCATCGTTAGCGATTTTAGAGTTCCTGGAGGTTGGAGATAAGCTTCTAAACTACCATTTATTGACATAGGGTTTGGTTACTTTGCATCATCAACCTTCTCTTCTCTTTTGGCGCTTTGATAGAGCTTAGGAGTGTTCTTGATAGCTTTGCATTCACAAATCTAGAAGTCAAGCTTGAGGACTTCAAGTCTTCAATAAAGGAAGCTCAAGATTTGGGTTAAAACCTAGATTTAACATAAATAATGCAGTATGAGTTCAAGTTGTTTTGTGAAAACTACGTACATGCCAAACATATTCATTTTGGAGTCTTAAAATGTTTTCTTGATATTTATCAAATGTATTGATCATTTGATGAGATTTGCATTTTTGGTACTTTTGATTTTATAAATCTTGTGAAATGTCCATATTTGGGGTTTTTGGATATTTTGATAAATAAATCGTAAAAGTATGTTCTTTTGTGTATTTATTATATAAATAAACATTATTTGATGAAAATACACTTCTAATATATTTGGATTTATAAACCACTTGAAAAATGCATATTTTTATGTTACGAGGCATTTTAGAATTATAAATAGTATATGTGTCACCACAGTTACATAACAAACACTTATCGAACCACCTAAATTAATTTAGTTTCAAAAACCTCAAAATACGGGATAACGATTTACAACCTAAAATACATAATTTAAAGCTTAATAATTACATAACAAACCATAACATAATCATCGGGGACATATCTACCCGGAACAAACTATATAAACCCAAAAGTATGACGTATATACCTATACCAAAAGTAGGCTTCACACGTCAATCCCTAATCGATCAACTGACCTTGTTCTTACTTTTGTCAACTTGCCTTGAGAAATTAAAACCACTAAAAGGTAAGCTATAATGTGTTATATGAACGTACATACTAGGAAATGAAGAATGACTTAAAAGGAAGTTTGCATAAGGACACAACAACAACTTAGTTATATCACATGATGTCACTTACCACAACGTACTTTCAACGTGGGAATCACATATGAATTTTCAACATAGAAAGACATCAATACAATCAACATCATACTCAAGATCATGCAAGGTCAAATACGAATTTACTTATCCACAAACACAAGACTTGGCACCAAATCCGCCCTTCATCTCCTGGATTATGCGAAAGTCCTATTCTCACCCCCCCACTCCATTTGGGATGTGAGCACGACATCTTCTCCGATTGTCTCACCGGAATCCATGGGATGTCGACAATCGACGCCCAAAACGCACCACAAGACAATATAAACAATAAGACAATTCCAAGGGATACTCAAGAACTTACATGAATCATGGATGAAAAAGAAAGCAAATAAGCATCCATAATCATAAAATACACCCATATGTCCACATAAACTCACAGTGTTGCTTAATCTATTTGGTTGATCAAACCGAAAGCCTCGATCCAGCTCCGAGTTTCCACAGTGCAATCACTTGTCACAAGATGCCAATCTGATTTATATAATCCCTGGAGTACACATACCAAGTATCATAAGCAAACAGTACCATTTACACCATCTAAACTCTATTCAATTGACAATTACACTTTAAATTTCTCCTGTACAACTCTGTTTTCAAGCCCTGTTTTACCTTATAAAACCTCAGAATTCAAAACATAATTTGTAGCACTTTTTCCTAGCGTTCCAATGCATCTGACCTTATAATTTTGTGATTTTTCTATGATTTTATAGGATTTTTCTAAAAGAGAGCTGTATTATGACTTTCAAACTGGAAAATAGCTCTTTTTTCACGATTTCATGTTAAATCCCAAACCATTTTGTACTAAATTCATATATTAGTCTTACATTACCATAACTTATACAAAATCATCATGAGTCCACCATTATTTTACCAAACATTCACCTATTTCATCATGATACAATATTGACTATCAAAAGTCAAATTTTCTCAAACTATATCATGATTTCAACAATATAATAAGTGATCTATCATCTATCCTACATAATATCAAGATTTCAACTTATAATCCTCATCATAAAACCCTAATTTCATGGTTTATTGAACTCAAATTGAACACATAGTTAATAATGGAAGTATACCTTTGAAATCTTAAATAATCTTGCAAAAGTTCACTAATTTCTCGAAAAAACACCCAAGATTGATGCCCTTGAAGTCACCAGGAGTTTATAAATGAAAGAGGGAAGAAAAATAGGGCCAAAATAGTTTTCATTTAACTTAGGGTTGCTAAACCCGAGTTGGGTCGGGTTTGACTCGGTTGGGTATCCACTTTGACCACCAAACACTTAAACATTCATAACTTTTTGCTCGGACCTCTGTTTTCGATGAGATTTTTGCTTACGCATTCCTTATTGAGTCTAATTTCACCTTAAACTCTCAAATTTACCAAATTCATCTCAGAAAAAACATTTATGCAAATTCTTTCTTATATAGCCACTATACTTTGCACATCTATGCCCATAGAGAACTATACTTTGTTTTCTTGACATCTACCAAATCTAACACCTTACATTAACTTATTCTAAGGTGTTCCAACCATACTTCATTATTCCAACCATTATACAATGCTAAGCATGTAACACATCATTTATAGGTTATTTAAGTTGATATATAAAGTGTGTATGTTACAATAACCTCATCCTTTTGAAGATTTCGTCCTCGAAATCATTGTTACTCGAAGATTTCTGGATACTTGGCTTTCATTTCTTACTTGTTCTCCCAAGTCTAGTTTGGACCTCGGTGATGCTTCCATTTGACCAACACCAAGTCTACAATCTTGTTTCAAAGGTTCACCGTTATTCCATTCAAGATAGCTTCCGCTTCCTCAGTGTATCTCAACCGTTTATCAAGTTGTACCTCCGACAATGGAACCGTCTCATTATGTTTACCAAGGCACTTCTGTAGATAACCCACATGAAAGACATCATGATCTCCGATAAGTTCTTCCGGTAGCTCCAAACAATAAGCTTGCTTTCCCACTCGCTCAAGTATCTTGAAGGGTCCAAAAAAATGAGGACTTAGTTTATGTTGCTTACCAAATCTCAAAACTCCTTTCCAAGGCGATACTTTCAACATGACCATATCTCCCACGGAGAACTCAATTGGTCGCCTCCGTTTATCCACATATGACTTTTGTCGATCTTGTGCCGCTTTCATTTTTTCTCATATAACTAGGATCTTGTCATGAGTAATTCTGATCAACTCAAGACCCGCCAAAATCTTTTCACTTGTTTCTCGCCAACAAAGAGGCGTACAACACTTACATCCGTACAAAGCCTCAAATGGGGTCATTCTAATCGATGGATGATAACTATTATTATAAAAAACTCCACTAATGGCAAGTGAATATCCCAACTTCCACCAAACTCGAGTATATATGCCCTCAACATGTCTTCTAATATTTGAATGGTACACTTTGACTGGCCATCAATTTGGGGATGATACGGGTACTAAGGGCAACCCGTGTTCCCAACTCTCGTTGCATACTCGTCTAAAACTTGGAAGTGAACCGAGAATCATGATTAGAGATTAATTTCACTGGTACACTATGTCGCACAATAATCTCATCAATGTACAACTGTGCCCATCAGTCCATCGAATAAGACTCACGAACAATAAGAAAGTGAGCACTTTTCGTTAATCGGTCTACAATAATTAGTACCTCTTTCTTGCATATATCATTGGCAATGAGTTCGATTTTTATGGATCATTGTTTCATCTTCATCCATTTTGTATCAAAAGATCCATTTAGTGCCAATACTTGTTTTTTAGAGGCCAATGAATTAGCTTCCAAAATTTGTTGCGTTCAAACTACTGAAACACTTCTATCTTGCATGGCACTGACCCAACTTGGATCTTCAATCTCTTATTCAATTTTCATAGGTTCAGAAAGAGACAAGAAGTTGACATATAGAAACATATTTACCCAACTTGATCAGTCAGATGATTTTCGTCCACTTATTAGCAAGAAGAAGAGATAGATAAAATGATGATGGACCACCAATGTTAGTCAGACTGGGAATTTCATATTCTACTATGGTAGATGATTTTATTTGACTTTTGGATTGAATGGAAACGAAACTTGTCAAGGATTCTGCAAAGTTGACTAAGTACAACATGAATTGAAACAATTTGAGTACTAGAACATGTACTTAGATTGATCTAAACTTCATCAAAATCTTCATTTTCAGGAACCTGAGCATCTAAGGGTTGAGGTTAAGGTTGAGGTTGAACTTCGATAGATCCATTGTGTTAAGAAGAATTTAAGAACATCCATCCATTCAATTCATATTCATTGAATTAAAGGTGGATGAAGTGGAGATGCTTTCATCAAATCGTACATGAATTATTTCATCATATACATTGATGATGAAGATTATAAACATGATAACCCTTTGAGACCAAATAATATCCGATAAAAAAATATTATCCTCGAATATCGCATCAAAATTTTGTT